GTGTGTGGTTAGTGTTTGTACATCAAGTGTGTGGTTAGTGTTTGTACATCAAGTGTGTGGTTAGTGTTTGTACATCAAGTGTGTGGTTAATGTTTGTACATCAAGTGTGTGGTTAATGTTTGTACTTCAAGTGTGTGGTTAATGTTTGTACATCAAGTGTGTGGTTAAATGTTTGTACATCAAGTGTGTGGTTAATGTTTGTACATCAAGTGTGTGGTTAATGTTTGTACATCAAGTGTGTGGTTAATGTTTGTACATCAAGTGTGTGGTTAATGTTTGTACATCAAGTGTGTGGTTAATGTTTGTACATCAAGTGTGTGGTTAATGTTTGTACATCAAGTGTGTGGTTAATGTTTGTACTTTTTGTTTTCTGTCAAAACCTAATAAAAAATGTACTATTACAAACAATTAACATAAATCATTTTATTTCCTTACCAAAAATAATAGAAAAAACAAACGTACACTATAGAAACTAAAATAAATGCAACAATATACACGAATAATTCTGGGTCCTTTCCCTTACATAGGCGTTCAGTTATTGTCACTTATTGAATCCAAAATGAGTAAAGTTTATTCAATATTGCCCCACAGTGGTATGTCTGCGGACTTACACTGCTAGAAACCGGGATTCGATACCCGTGGTGGGCAGAGCACAGACAGCCCTTAAAATTAAATTTGGCCAGTGGTGTTGCGGTAAAATGTTTAGTTACAGAGCGCCATCTATATTTCTGACACTTGAATTAAACACGCACGTGCAGGAATTTAATTTGTTTGTAATTACGAAACACTTATTGAGTTAGGTTTAGATATATAATCGACTCGCAAATCTGAGACACAAAAATGTAAATAATGTTTATAAACCGTCGTTCAGTTCGCTGTAGTTAATTCACCAATGATATTTACAAAGTCAGATCAAGAAATTTGCTTCCTTTAAGCATAATTACGAGGTATCCTATCTTGAGTAGCTTGTTGTGTCGTTACTAAGTAACGGTATAAGTACCATATCATCAACCTACAGCTAAAACTCTTAACGTTCATCAAAACAGTGGCTCAGTGTCTGAAGATTAAAAATAACGTTGATGAAAACTGAACGTTCATCAAAACAGTGTCTCAGTGCCTGAAGATTAAAAATAACGTTGATGAAAACTGATAATTATTTATCGGATTTAGGATTGTTTGTTTTTGTCTCTGTGTGTGTACAGTGTGTGCAAAATAAGGGCTACTGATGAACAAAAAGCTGCAAACAATGGCTACAGATAAACAAAAAGCTTACATCAAACACCAGTGAACGTAAATCGTTTCAACACTCCGCGATTCCAGCGGAGTATTTCAAAAGTTTATTTGCTAACTTTGAGGGGGCACTGCAAACCCCATGTAGTTTTGTGGTAGAGGACAAGTTGGTTAATATCCACTTGATGTGACAGTCACAAATTAGGAAGTTTCCTGAAAAACAAAATTTGAAA